AAAACTATGCTACCAGAGCTCAGATTCCCATTGAGAGATACTGTGTAACATCACAAGGTAGGCAGCCCTGCCTACCCAAAGGCCACACACACTTCTTGGGCTGTTTGAATCCACCAGTTACTCTACAAGAGGATATGTAATCTTCTATACTGTGTGATTTACAGCTTTGGAAACCCAAGAGAGAGTCAGCCCTCTGCAATAAGTAGCAGTCAAGCAGCATCAAGAGGAGCTCTGGTGGAGTAGTGCATTCATTATGTGGTGCTCGACTAACTGAAAGGTTAGTGGTTTGGATTCACCAGCTGTTGAATGGGAGAAAGATGGGTGGTCTCTCGTAAAGATGTTCAATCTCAAAAACTCAATGGAGTTGCAATGAGTCACAACCAACTCATAAGAAAACCCCGCTGGCAGAGGAGTTTGTGTGTAATATCACACAATAAAACCATTAACTATAATATCTGCTCTAATTCTCTCCACAGGTATCTTGGTTCAAATAAAAATGTGTGAAAGTATAAAGGATTTATTGCTCAATATTTCAGAAAATAAAAATTCTGGAAATCAAGATAGTAAGAAGGTGGGTATAAATTAGATAGAACTGTTAAAATTACTTGCTATATATCTGTGAGCTGAGTAATGATTAATGATGAAGGAATAAATGATGCCCTTGAATTATGGTGCTAGAGAACAGTACTGAATATACCATGGACTGCCAAGAGAACAAACAGGTCTGTCCTGGAGAGGATGGAAACAGGTTGCTCCTTGGAGGCAGAATTTTGAAGCTAGTCTCACATACTTTGGGCATGTTGCTGGAAGGGACCAGTCCTTGGAGAAGGACATTACGTTTTATAGGATGAAGGTCAGTACAAGAGAGGAGACCATGAATGAGATGGACTGACACAGTGAATGTGGCAGTGGGGTCAGGAGCATCAGAGACGGTTAGGTTGGCTGAGGATAGAGCAAAGTTCAGAGCCACTGTTCATAGCATTACTATATGAGTGGTAGTGGACTTAGTGGCACACAGAGCAGCAACATTAAAATTATAACATTTCACAGTTTCCTTAACAAGAAACAAATTTCCAGAATTAAGCTCTTTATTCACCTTTCTTGTTTCACAGTCATGGTAATTTTTAGAACACAGAAAGCATTTCTGGCACTTGACATCAATAAGTCAAAACCTGCTCAGAATACCCAGAGCCACGTAGCATGACTCTTTCAGTCGTGGTGCAGTGAGAGCTGTAGAGAATACTCAGGAATAGACACAAGTCAGTGAAATGAGAATCCCAGTTATAAGCTTGGTTTGGGGCTTGGACTATGATCTTCTGAACATCTATGCAGACCAAGTTCAAACAAGAACAAGCTCATCCTAGGACAAGTTTTAGAATGTTAAGCAAACTACAGAAGGAGCCATCATCTTCCTCCGAGGGCAGAACTCTCCCAGACTTCAGTTAGTTCCAGAAGACCAAAGGTCTCTGACTCACTCATTCGTACACCAGATCTTTACTGCCTCATGCTGGACAAAGATACATATTAGACCGAGTCCTCACCTTAATGGAATTCTGAAGATGATGAAAAGTATTTATTTATAAGTAAATCCCTATGATTCAAGGCAAAAGGATAGAGATGAGTCCAACAAACCTTGGCCCTCAGGTAGTTCATGGTCTAACAGAGGGCTAGACAACACACAGACAAATAGTACGGCCTATGGTAGGCACCCAAGAAGAGACTACCTTCTGGCAGTACAGAGGATGATTTGGCATCTGTTTGAACATAGCAGCAGGTAAAACGGTCCCATGAGCAGCTCAATCTGGACAGAGAATAGGTGTCAGATCCTACTGCCGTGGGGAAGGGGTTGTACAGCCTTCAGGACTCCCTCTCCATTCTCTCATCCCCACAAAAAACAAGTGATATGTCTCGAACACATGGCTGCAGTTGCAAGATAGCCTAGGGACATCTGAGAAAACATCCAGAAGCCAAGAGAAACATCCAAATAACAAGTCTCAGGAGACTATTAGGCACCTACAAGTTCGGGAACCAGGGGCCTGTGTTAAGACCATTAGGTTGAATAGGTCAGGAGAAGGCTGGCCTGGGTAAATACCAGTAGCAAGAGGCTCCTACTACCTGTGCTTTCCTGCACATCTCTGTGTGTGGTGGATAGACAAGGATACAAGAAGTAGGGTGTGAGGGGAGCACCTCAGAGCAAAGGACAATAGCTTCTGTAGTCCTCTTGCCATTCCTATCACTTACAGGCCTCTATTAGCATTCCTCTTTTCTTCACAGCTGCCATCACTTACCCTGTATATATCATTTTATACTCAAATTGAGAGTGGCTCAAATGGTCTCAGTGAGGGTACAAGTATCATGGTTCCAGGCCCCTAAAGGTCCTGAGCACAAATAGGGCTGCAGCGCCTGGATCTATCTGTTGATCAGCTGGAGCACAGACAAGTTGAACAAACATTAGCATTGGGTGGGACTTCTCTACAAGCCAACCTGGTGCCAGCACAGAGAACATCTGCAACCTATAGCCGCCAGCCTCAGTTTTAGGCCTGCCACTTCCTTTCTCTTCCTGAAGGTATCATGACACCTATCTGCTGCTCTTTTACTTCACAGCTGCCATCACCCACTCAAGTAAATGCTCTAGCCCTCAAACTAGATTCTCCCTAGTTCCTAATGCTCCTTTCTTACTATTCATAGTATAAGAGCAGAAGTCTTTTTCTTGTTAAGTTTGTTGTTAGTCATCAGGAAGAAGCAAACAGGAGGCAAGGAGCAAAAGAAAGGAATTTACTACTGTGTGCTTACTGGAAGGAGTCCTGGCACCACAGTGCATGCTGGGCTTCTAACCTAAAGGTCAGAGATTCAAATCCATGAGTTGCTCCATGGGAGAAAATAGGCAGTTTACTCCTGCAAAGATTTATAGCCTTAGAAACCCAACAGAGGGTCTTCATGACTTGCTCAACAGCAGAGGGAATCTTGGGAATCTTCATCCTTGTAAACTTTAGTCATCTCCATACCCCTGTCTACTTCAGGTTTGATACTTAGGAAAGCTTTCCTTAACAAGGAGTTTCTATTACTGGTGGCTTGGGGGTTTAGGGATTCAGGAAAAGACTGACCTTTTAATTCTATTTCTCCAAGTCTTTTTTTGTACCACCAAACCTGCGTACCTCTGGGCCCACAACTTTCTTGAATGTCAACTTGACAGAGGGGCTCCCTGACATGGGCCTTAGTAGAAGGAAGTAGAGGGAAACACGTACTCATCATCTTGCCCTACAACTTATTGGAAGGTCCTACAAGGCAGGCTGAATGTAAACACCATTTTGAGGCAATGAGGAGCCACAGGGGATTTTCAATAGGAAATAAAAAGTATATTGTATTGTGTGCACTTGGGGAAATATTTAGAGAAATGTATAAATGAGTGAATTATCCTAATTGGGTATGGGGAAGATTATTTTGGCAATGTATTAAAGGTTAAAGGAATTTTTTTAAATTTTTTTTTATTTTATTATTTTGTGTGTGTGCGTATTGTCAAATCGAATCTGACTGGTACAGGAGGAGATTGCCACTCCTTCTCCAGCAGAGCATCTGGTGAAAGGTTAAAGGAATTTTTTTTAAGTCATTCAAGCCATAGGCTTAAGCAATAATACCAAAGTAAACTATATTAGCCACATTTTCAATGTGGAGGTCCCTCCTCTACCTCACTGATGCACCTGCTATCTGTAGCCTCCTGGGAATATTCCACTAATAATTCCACATTCCTAAAATAGGGATGAAAGAGCTTTCTTATCCAAGGTAATAATGCTTATGACAGAATTTCTATGACAATGACAAGTTGTGAGCAAAACAGTCTGAAATAGAAGCAATAAATCTATTATCACCTTAAAGACCTACCATAGGTTAAGTTCAGAACCAAACAGTAAGACAAAGAGGATCCATATTTCACAGTAATTCCAGTAGGTTAAATGGACACGTCCAACTCAGAGGCTTGAGGTTCCAGAGACCTTCCCAATGGTGAGGCTAAAGATGCCATACGTTAAAGTATAGATTGTCCAGGACAACATTCTGAGGAAATAACATGGGAGAAACTGTGCAACCTGGAAAAGTCTGAGGGTAGGTTATTGTGGTAACACTGGAAATACAAACAAAGGTAATGACAACAGGAGCTACTTATCACTCCACGTTCGCATCCAGCAACTAGAAACTATCGCATCAGATACATTTTCTCCTTCTTCTCACCCATATGCTCTTGAGCTCCTTGAAGGCAGAAACTATGGGAAGTTTTATCCAATGTTTTCAATCATACCCTTTCCCATCAGGAGTCATTCAGATAAAGGAACTTACGGCTCATCTTTCACAGGAGTTAATGCCATCAAAAACAACAAACATTATTATCAAGGAACCCTGGAAAGAACAGCACAAGGAACTGTGTTTTCTCCCAAATAAATGAATCTTTCTGGATAAGGAAGACTGTGCAGAGCTGCAAATCCAGAGAAGGTAGGTGACTTCATGTTTCCACTCTTCTTCCCAATTCTTCCAGGCTAGAGTCTGCAGAGTTCAACGCATGCGAGGGTGTGGAGGTGTTTTTGGTTATAAAGAACGGAATAAACGATCCAGATCTTCATTCCCATAAAGATACTTCTTGGATGAAGAGAGAATCATTTGAAAAGCTAGGTTACTTTATTTCAAATTTGAGATCACAGAATCCTGTAAGCAGCTGGGATTTTCTGTTAATGGAGCACCCAGGCACTCTGCCTCTCCTAGGGTTGGCAAGAAGAGAAATCACAGAACCAACTCTCTCATTTTTTAAATGGAGATATAAGGCCCAGAAGAGGTAAGGTAACTTAATGAAGGTCACAAAATCAGTAGCACAGTAAATACCACTTCTAAGTCCAAAGAGTTCAATGCTCTTTTCCAGTGTGGAAGCTACAGGAAAATTTTCATGTTACTTTTTGAAGTGGAGGAGTGAACAGGTCCTGTGCCTATGCATAAAGAGAATATCAAGCTTTTGGATTCTATGGAGGCTTTAGTAACTTCTGGTTCTCACCAGGGCTTGTTCATTCTCCCTGCACATGGCTCAGGATCTCTTGCACTGTAAACAGGCGGAAGCTAATCTGCTCACAATCCTCCTTGATTCCACACTCAAACAAGCACCCAAACAAGCCCTCCTCCTCCACAGAAGCCATATCAGAGTAGCCACAAGGCCCATAGTGCAAGATCCAGGGACGGGACCAGTAAGTGGACTTCAAGGGGGCCTGGTTGAGGTAGATGCCTAGGTTGACCCTTCGCTTCTTATTAGTTGGGTGTGAGTACAAGAGCCATGATTCAGACAGTGTTCCAGCTTCCTGCTCCAGCCTCAGTGAGCTGTCTGATGGAGGGCTCTGTTGAACAGCAGGATCACCTTTGCCACTTGGGTGCTGGTATTTATGTGGGATCTTCAGGGGCTGAAAACTCACCACGCTGCCTTGGCAGCCGTGCCGGGGTTCACAGAGCTGGTGGTTCAGGGTGGATTTCTGAAAGCATTCACCATGGTTGGTGCTGAGAGCCTCGGCCCGGTGTCTACACGATGTCCGAGCGCTGCAATACAGCACAGGGTGGCCAGCCTCCCCAATCACTTCTGCCACCTCACACTCCACTGTTGCTGTGGGCTTAATGAGCCTGCCATGATGCCATGTAGTACCTAGGTCATCACTGTAGATCATCAGAGAATGAGGTCTGGTTTTACAAGGTAGCCTGAAGCAAAAGTAAGGAATGTAGTAGGTGTAGGCAGGGATGATCAGCCTTCCTGACTGCAGCTGGATGCCATGACCTGGGCCCACAGCAAACGTGGCCCAGTGCTTCATCTCGGGGCCGATGACCTCCTCAGTCAGGTCCCTCACCTCGCTCCACGAGCATCCAGCATCCTGACTGCAGGTGAAGCAGAGGCGTGCAGCATTCCTGCCGGACACTATCTGCTGCCGCTCAGTGATGTGGTCCCGCACACAGATGAAGAATAGGTATACACAGCCACTCTTCTTCTCCCACACAGGGCAGGGGTTCATGGTCCGGTGCCCAGGCATAGTGGCTGTCATCAGTGACTCCTGGGGCCCCCACTAGACAAGAGGAAATAGAAGAGAGAATGATAGGAGTAAGAGACTGACAGAAAGACATGAGGCTCATTAAAAGTCTAGTACTTTGAGATAAAAAAACATTGAAATTTCTAAAACTACTAAGGCCCAGGTAGTCAGGAAAGTCTCAAATAATCTAAAACACTTCAGAAGCTATAAATAAACAATACTAGATAATGTACAGGTTGCTCCCTTTCTCATTTTATTCTGTGACACTGACAGTACACATTGTAACAGCACTCTTCCTACTTCCTTCATGCTTCTTGTTTCCATAGTCCTTTTTCTCCTACCCTTTCCTGCTTCTGAGCTTTATCCTTGGGCAAATGCTGCCCGTTTTATCTTGTCTGGCTGACTGTCCTAAGGAATGTGTTCCTTCCTTGAGTTAGGAATCACCTTGTAGCCCAGTCAGTTGTTTAGCTGGAACAAGAGTCACAGGGATGATTCCAGCTCCAGGTTTAAAGGTTGACTAAGTGCCATTGTCTTGAGGACTCAGACCTCTTCCTCCAAGTCTGTTAGGGAATTTCTATTGTGATCTCTTTAAGAGCAGTCAATAGAGGTAGCTGGGCCCCATCTAATTTTTCTGGTCTCCAGGTCATAGAAACCAAATTTCACATAGCTCATTAGTCGTTCAGACTAATACTCCTTTCTTTTCTCCACTTTTCTCTGATGGGGAGAGACCAACAGTTGTACGTTAGCAGGCTGCCTACAAGCTTTTAAGACCCGTTTCTACTCAACAAAGTAGGATGTAGAATATTGTCTTTATGGACAATGTTATGCCAATTGACGTTAGTGCTCTCTCAGACTATGGTCCTCAGCTCCTAGGCCCAGTGACTCAATCCATCAAGGTGTGTGGTTATGACGAAGAAGTTTTCCTAATTTGTCCGCTACTAGGTTCTACGTGGATCTACGAGATAAAGACTTTAATAGGGACCTCAGAGAGGAGCAGTTGTAAGGATTAAATGGCATATTATAAACAAAGCCTGATATCTGCTGTGTGCCATGGAGTCAATTCCAACTCAAAGTGGCTTAAACGGTAGAGCAGAGCTGTCCTAGAAGGTCTGGGAGGCTAAAATCTTTATGGAAGCTATCACATCTTTCTCCTTTACAACAGTCTGTTTAAGTATCTGAAGATTTAACATTGCAACTAGAAATTACTAAGAAAACTTCCAGAAATGTTGTAGGTAAGGACAAAAAATAAGATTCAACAATTCACAGAAAGGGTGGGGGAGGAGGAGGCAGTTATGTTCAATACTCACATATAAAAAAAATGAAAACAATCAACTGGAAAAGTCATAGAGTTTTACAAAACTCTGCTGGTAAAATGGAAAACAGACAAATTCCTAGCATGAGATGGAGTACAAAATGATCTCACTGTTGTGCAGGATCAAAACCACAAATGGATTTCTCCTTCCCCAGCGTTCCCAATCCTGAGAACTGATCTTAAGATTTACATGCTCAATAAGTACACACAAAATTTAGACACTGTAGCAGTGCTTGAAACAGCAAAATATTGGAAACAATACAAATACAGCGATCGGTAGGGGAGCGCAGGGATCCCCATGGTGAGCACACATGTAATGCATGGGGTGAATAAGGAAAAGAATTGATCTGGAAAGGTTTCCATGATTTATTGTCAAATGAACAAAGGAAAGCTTATGTAGTATACCACTATTTACTTTTTGCATAAGAAAGGTAAAGGAAAAAGACTTCCTACCACAACAAACCAGGTAACTGAACCATTCCTTCCAATGAGAACTAGATAAAATATTAAAACAAAAATATAAACATCTGCCTGAAAGCACCAAAGTATAAACAAGGTAATGAAAAAAGGACAGGCTAAGAACTGAGAGGAAGTCCCTCAGAGAGGTCAGCCTTTCCCCTCCAGAAATCTCAACTGTGGCTGAGATAAACTCCACTGCAGACTCATCGCAACTCATATATTGCACGTGGAATCATTATGAGCTAGAGGGCCTCACTGAATAAATTTTGGAAGCAGATCACTAGGCCTCTCTTCCTAGTTCAGTTTGGTCTGCGAATGCTGCTGGACATGTTCATCATAGCAACACACAGCCTCCACTGACAGAAGGGTGATGTCTTCTGAAAATCAGCTGCAGGGTCAGCTATGAATCAGTTTCAACTCAATGACACATAAAAACAACAACAATGAATACATTACAACTGCACATAACTTATAGGAACTTCAAAAATACTGAACAACAGCAGCAACAACAACAAAAAACCACAACAAAAGCCGCGATATGTAAAAGAATAGACAGATTAAAAGCAAGTACAACTGAACTGGAGCTATTATATCAGGACTGTTAATTAGACTGAGGAAGGAAAAATGAATATAAGGCTTTGGAGGTGCTAGCATTACACAGACTCCTTATTTATCCAACTGCCATATTGTCAGCTATTTCACACTTACGACAACAGTAAAACATGTACCGTCAGACTATTTTGCACATTAATGACATACATCTGCCAGTTCTGAATACAATGGTGTGGTTGTGATAGTTAGGGTTATATATCAACCTGGCTGGGCTTTGAGTCTCAGAGGTTTGGCAGTTATGTAATACTGCAGTCTGGGAGTTTTTAATGATGTACTTAGGGAGGCCTGGTGACAAAGTGAATTATGTGTTGGGCTACTAACGGAAAGGTTGGCAGTTTGAATCCACCAGTCATTTCACAAGATAAACATAAGCACTCTACTCCTGTAAAGACTTACAGCCTTGGAAACCTAACAGAGATCTGATTCTTCCATGAGTCAGAATCAATGCAATGGCAGTGGGTTTGCTGTTGGTTTGCTCTTTTTTTCTTTTTTTAAGTGACAGACTATGGTAGTTAGATAAGAACTTAGTCATTCTAACTTTTTGTGAACATGGGTCTGCATGGATGACTATTCTTTGGAACCTATCCATGTGTCTAATGGAGAAGTGGGTGTATCTTGAGCTGGGCGGTGATTTCACAAGTGTTGGCTTTGTCATAGTTCACTGGGCTAACACATATATCTTCAGTGAAACTTCTCTATCATACAGTGTTAAGTCACATTTTTAAAAAAGTTTTAAAAGGTTTGATGCTGTATCTGAATATCCCATTGACTGCCAAAAACAAGTCTATCTTGAAAGAAGTGCAACCAGCAGATTCCTGGGAAGCAAGGATGGTGAAACTCTATACTCACATACTTTGGTCATATGTCAGAAGAGGCCAATTGGGGGAAAAAACCATCATTCTGGGAAAGGCTGGGGTCAGAAAAAAGAGAAGAAGAGACTCTCAATGGTTTGGATTGACACAGTGACTATACAGTGGGCTTGGGCATATTAGAGATGGTAAAGATGGCACATGATAGGGCCAGGATCTGATCTGTTGTTCATAGGGTCACTGTGAGTTGTAGTAGAGTCAGTGGCACCTAACAACAAGAACTCTGAAAAAATAATGAAAAAAATGACCTGATATACTGCTATAGGCCACAAGTCCAAAAACAATTTCTCCCATTGAAAATACAAAAATGTGCTTCTTCATAGTGAGGATTCCAATCTCAGTTCTGTCACCTGTAAGCATATGTGACCAAGACAAGTCACTTTCATTCTCTGAGCCCAAATTTCCTCCAATAAAATGGAAGATAATACCTATCTTACCTAAAGCATTTATTTGTAATAGTAGTAAGGCTGTTATTCTAAAACACACCTCACCCCCATCATCCACTAGTAGTGATCTTGAGAGAAAGTTCTAGATCTTGAAACAATAGGATCCTTACCATAAAAGGGAACTAATAATGCTTGCCTCTCTGGGTGACTTGTTAGAATTAGAAAGAATTAGAAAGGATAATTAATGAATTTAAACTCAAACTAGAATCACAGGTGGAGTTTTAAACACTTCTACTGCTTTATTAGTTATGGAACCTTGGGCAAGTGGCAATCTCTAAGCCTATTTCTTCATCTGAAAAACTACAGTATATTATACCACAGAGTGGCTGTGACAATCCATTGAGAGACAACTATTAAGTGCTGTAGCTCAAGCCTATTGTAAACTATGCACAATTAACATTCAATAAATGACAACCACTGATTTTATTATTTTCTCCTTATTTCTCCACATAAAACTTGCCACGCACTGAAGGGTAAAGACACAGACTCTGAGATATACTAGTTACAAACTGAAGTTCCGGCCCAGATGTGGGATGAAGAGTTACCTGTACAACGTGCCCAGTCCTCAACCCTCGCCTCTGCACCAGGTAAAGTGCATCCTCATCCTTGCACGAAGAACGCTTCTCTGCAAAAGCCAGGAAGGTTTGGGCAGGGGGGATGTAGAGCAAGGCTGGGATTCGGTAGGTGATCCCTCTCTTGTATTCCTGCTGGAACAGAGGGCTGGTGGAGAAGGATGATGTCACTTCTTCCATGAGCTCTGCAAGGACAAGAAGCAGCTAAATGTGTGTCATACCCAAAGGCCAGGTTGCACCCAAGTTATGTTCTATTATTTCATTTCTTCAGACTGTACAGCACACACCGGAAAATCCCACAATGGCTGACTCAATTCTGACCTACTATAGTGCCACACCATGAGGTTTCCAGAGCTGTAAATCTTTATGGGAAGAAACTACCCATCTTTTCCCCTCAGAGAAGCTGCTGGATTTGAACTGCTGACCTTTCCGCTAGCAGCATAACACCAAACGCACCACTTCATCAGAGCTCCTAAAGGCAGCACACATGTATTCAGGCTTTTTTTCTTCCTCGAATACAAAGGTAGCATCATGAGCTCAACAACACAAAGGAAGTAGTATATGTTCTCATTCTAAAAATATGTTCTCTTGACTCTATGGGAATCCTATGCAGTCCGTGTTGAGTGTGTTTCTCCAGAGAAGTTCTGCATTTGCTTCTTTCTGCCAAGCACTCCAGGTCTATTACCATCTTAAGATGATTTTTAAATGTTAATTTTGTGGCTTGGGGTTTCTAGGCCATGTGAGTAATATAATAAACATAAGCCTAAATCTTTAAGAGGGAATGTGTTTGGCCAAGGATTCTCAAAGGAAACTTCCTTCCTTCTATTAGAATTTAGTCTAAGGATAATCTTTGCCATTTCTCTCTCCTAGTCCATCCTATAGGGAACTCTGGTTGCCTAGTAATAAGAAGCTGTGCTGAAATCCCAAAGGCATGTAGTTTGACTCTACCAACTGCTGGTGAAAGATGGAGAAAAATGGGCAATCTCCTCCTGTGCAATTTACTGCCTCTGAAAACCCACTGGAGGCTCAGCTATGACTTGCTTCTGACTTGACAGCACTGTGTCAAAAAGAACAGTATACCCTATAATGGAAAATATAGACTTTAAACGGACCACATTTCCTGAAAGATCTGTTCCAAGTGGGCTTATGGCAGGTTTATTAAAACCCAAGCATCCAGGTTACTAAAACCAGTGCACATTCATGGCAGGTGAGGTCAGATTAAAGGGCTAACTTCCCTGGTTTTCACTCTGCTCTTGGTTCTTAACCATCCTAAGATACCTAGGATGGCAATACACCTGGAAGTACCCGGCAGAGACAAATCCAGAACTTCTTTGCAGGCATGCTCGACACAGTGTACATAGGATTCCCACCAAGTCAAGAGAACACATTTTTAGAATGAGAGAGTATACGACTCCCTTTGAGTGGTCGAGTTCATGAAGCTACTCTCAAATGATAGGAAGAAAAAAAAATCTGAATAAATGTCTCTTGATTTTGTCTTACTTTCTCACAAATTTAGCTAGGAAGACTTTTGCTATATATAATTGTTCTATAAGTTAGCTAGCTTGCTATAATGTTGAAGATAAAAGTCAGTTCAAATCCATCAGATGCTCTGCTGGAGAAGGAGGGACAATCTCCTCCTGTACCTGTCAGATCCAATTTGATGGCACACACACAAAAAATAATAAAATTTAAAAAAAAAAGTCTTCAGGTCTTCCTCTTAAAGAAACCCACATGATTTACTTTTCAAAAAAGGAATGAAGCCAGACACAGACTCATGTAGAATATTTTCCCCTTCCTCCAATCTATCTGTTATTCAAGTCCTATCTCATAACTCATATGTAAAAATTAATAGGCCTGATATAAAAATAGCCAGGCCTGGTGACATACTGGGTTACACATTTGGCTACAGATCAAAGGTATGTGATTTCAATCCACTAGTCATTCTGTGGGACAAAGATAAAGCAGTTTCCTCCTGTAAAAACTGACAGCCTCAGTAACCTGAAAGCAGGTGGCCACGAGTCAGAACTGACATGAGGAGAGTCAGTTTTAATTGCTAGACCAATAGAGCAGGCTTTAGAGCTATTGCACACAGGGTTGCTATGAGTTGCAAATGACTCAACAGCAAATGACAACAATACAGCTTGAACCAATTATTCAACTACCTATTTCTGACTTCTGGGTACTTGAGGACACAGAGAAGACTAAAAGTTTCTGCTCTTAAGAAACTCATATACTAGTGAAGGAAGCAAACATACACATGGACAGCCATTATGTAATAAGGGGTGTTTTAAAGGCAGACACAAAACTAAACTAACTATAAAATTAGTTAGCATATAGGAAACTAAGGAATGAGGGAAATCTTTTTGGAGAGGATAATAAGTAAGTTAAGTAAACCTCTGCCTCATAATCTTATTCCGTATTACCTGGAAGAGCCCCAGAGCTCACTCTCTCATCTCATTCAGCTCTGGTCAAACAGCCCTTCTCTTTTTCTAGTCGCCAACCCACTTATCACCATCTGTCTGGTATCTTATACTTATTTTCATACACATGATAGAATATTGTTACCGCTGTTATATACTGTTGAGTTGGAACCAACTCTTAGCTGACCCTCCACAGGTTTTTAGAGGCTGTAAATCACACAAGAAGAGACTGCCCATCTTTATCCCACAGAACAGCTGGTGATTCAAATCACATGCCTTTGGGTTGACAGAACAACTCCTTATCATTAAGCCATTAGAGCTCCCTTAATAGAATATTAAAGATCCATAATGGCAAGTACGTTGTTGATTGCTTTCGAGTCAAGCACAACTCATAGCAACCCAATGAACAAAAGGCCTGAAGCTCCTCTACAACTATCGACATTTATCAAAGTTCCTAAGAATTTCTGGAGGCATGTTGTTTAGAAAGTAGATACCACTCCTGCTTCCAAAAGTGTATGCTTGTTTATTCACTACAATCCTAGAACCATGACTGGCACATGATAAAAAATTCATTGCCACTGAGTCAGTTTTGACTCACAGAATATACTATAGTGATTAAGAGCTATAAATCTTCTAGCAGAAGACTATCTGATCTTTCTCCCATGGAGCAGCAGGTGGTTCTAAACCACTAAACTTTAACTTAGCAGGCTTAACCACCTCTCCAGGAAGACTTCTTGGTACATAATAGGCACTCAAAATTTAATGGATGAATAAGCTTGATTAAGCTTAAAGACCTCTCTTAAAGAATAAAAAAAGGTTTAGCCAACTGAAGGGTACAATGGACAGAAGTAGACATGTAAAGCCAACAAAATCAGTAAGATCTGGAGACTCTTAAGTATTTTAATATAGCTATAGGGAGGTCTTGACTTTCTGCAGCAAGCGCTTCAGCTTTGACTTGCCGCAGAAAAGTCAAGGACTATATGTAGTTTTTAATATGCATTGAAGCTCAACATCAAGACTGAGGTGTTTAAGAATTTCAGCTTGCTTGGCTCCACAATCAACACTCTTGGCACCAGCAGTCAGGAAATCAAAAGACAAATTTCACTGGAAAAATCTGTTGTCAGGGACCTCTCTAGAGTACTGAGGAGCAATGTTATCAAACTAGAAGGTAAAATGACCTGATTTACGCCCTAGTCTTTGCAATTACTTGCTATTCATCAGAGAGCTAGACAATGATATAAGAAAAGTCAATGCCTCTGAGTTGCGGTACTGGAGAAAAGTCTTGAACATACCGTGGACTGCCAAGAGAACAAACAGGTCTGCCTTGGAGAAAGTGAAACCAAGTTTCTCCTTAGAGGCTAGGATTTTGAAGCTCCATCTCACATACATTGGGCACAAGGCCAGAAGGGACTTGTCCTTGGAGGAGGACATTATACTTGAAAGGGCAGAGTGACAGCACAGGAGAGGAAGATCCTGGGTGACATGGATTGACATAGTAACTGGGGTATTAGGGGTAGGTGTGTTCAAGTCAGTGAAACTGGCTCAGGATAGGACAGGCTTCAGAACTGTTGTACATAGGGTCACTATGAAGTTGCAGATGACTAGACGGCACATAACAACACCACAATGAAGTATCATGGCATTGCGTATCAGTCAGAATTTTCATTTCCTTGATAATGAGATGAAGCAAGTGATTCAACTCCTCCTCACACAGGCTATTTATGAATCTTCCTTTGATTTCATCTACTTGGATCCACAATCAACACCTTTGGTACCAGAAGCAAGGAAATCAGGAGACAAAATACACTGGGAAAGTCTGTAGTCAGGGACCTCTTCAAATTATTGAGGAACAATGATGTCAACTTGAGGACTAACGTGTGTTTGATTCAGGCCATGGTCTTTCCCATCATTTCAGTGAATAAGGATGACAGAATCGACGTCTTTGAGCTGTGGTGCTGAAAAAGAACACTGACTATTCCATGTCTTGGAGAAAGTGCACCTACAAGTGCTCCTTGGAGACAAAATATGATAAAGCTCCGTCTCATATACTTCAGGCATTTGCTGTAAAAGGCCATTTCTTGGAGAGGGACAACATGCTTAGAAAGGTGGAAAGTTCGCAAAAGAGAGGAAGACCCTCAGCCAGAATTAACACAATGATTGCTGCACTGGGCCATGTCAGGAAGTGTGTAGATGGCACAGGATAGGACAGGGTTTAGATCTGTTTTCTCTATGTATGGGTCATACACAACTTGAAAGCACCTAACAATAACAACAGTATAGGGAGTTACTGTTGTTTGAGGTCAAGTCAGAACCAACTCATAGGTGACCCTCTAGCACATTTTCAGAGGCAGAGAATCTAATCGAAGCAGCTGGTGTCTTCTAACCACATACCTTTGGAATTGCAGCAGAGCTTCTTACCACTAGGCTATCAGAGTTTACTTGGATCCATAGTTAACATCTTTCTTACCAGCAGCAGGAGACCAGGAGACACACTGCTTTGGGCAAGTCCACTGTCAGGAAACTCTTCAAAATATGAAATTATGTCAGTTTGAAGACTTGATTCAGGCCTTGGTCTTTTTAATCACTTGCCATTACATTTGACAGCTGGCTAGGTAATGAATAAGGATAGCAGAAGAAGAACTGATGAAGTTTGAGTTATGGTATTGGAGAAAAACAATGAATATCCATCCCAAGGATTACCAAAAAAAGAACAGATAGGTCTCAGGAAAAGTATAGCCAGAGTGCTTCTTGGAGGCAAAG